GGAGACCCTACCAGGGACATATAGCCCCCGACAACATAGCTCCTAGGATCACTCGGGTACACAAACCCCTCCACCACAATAAGGTGGCGGTTCAAGGAGGGGCTTACATATTTACTCCAGTATAATCCTTTTTGAACACTTCAAAGGCTTGTATTTTACAATATACGGGCACCTTGTTCGGCTAAGGTTCACTCTACTATATTGTACTGAGTAAGAGGAATCATGAATTCTTGAATGTTGATCATTATCCTTTTGACTTTTATTGATAAATGGATTTTGCTTGCTAAATCATATAGTAGTAAACACAGATGATAGTTAAGAAACGTGTTTGCATTTATGATGCATCTTTTTCATTTCATGTTTATGCATATGATTTCATAATAGTATGTCTTAAAAGTCATTCATTTCTTACAGCCTGAACTGAACTGGTTCCATCCTGTTCAAACTCTAAAAGAAAAGCAGATAAAGGCCAGGCAGTGAGTAAATAACACACACAAATCCAAGGGAGAGAAGCGAATACACTGCATGAACTTATCAGCCTACAAGACAAATCATATGATCTTACAACAAATGGTAACTCACTCAACACATGGTATGACTTTCCACTAAGAGCTAAAACAGTCCATGTTATAACCTTACAAGGAGTTTCTCTATGGACGGAGAACTGTCAAAAAATGTCCTTTGTCACCAAACAAGGACTAAACTGAGAACATCTGGGCATGATAGGGTTCATATGCCTGCTCCCTCCCCAGACCTCACCTATACTGAACTGTATAAAACCAGAGGACAAAAGAGGATTGAGACCTCCTTTTTAATTGGGGGCTCACTCCACTCCTATTTTTATTTTTTTATATAATACCGTCCAATGTACACTCATTTGGAAATAATTATTTGTGTTTTGGGAGCGTCTGTCAGGTGCCTCTCTCTTTGTCTCCTCCCTACTCCAAACTGATTTTCTTCTACCAGCTCTGGTAAGAAAAACAAACAAACCCCAGAAAAACAATGAGTGCAACCTCAAAATACATTTTTTAATGGATTTTGTACGTACATTGAGGTTTATGGAAATGAGACTTTATCTCCACTGATTCTTCACCCAGTAAGTTACAGTAAGCTTGTGCTATTAATATTTTCTCATCAAAGCTCAATGTCACTGTTTGTCTCGTCTGCACTTTCAATAAGTTACAAAGTTATGTGTCAGTAATCAGTGTCGTTATAATAGTTTAACATAATATAACTGATCACCAAACAATCATCACAGAGCCAATCTGTGTTGTAATGAAGTTTGAGAAAATGTGAGATGATTTCACATAATGCAACTAACATTAGTAAAATGTAACATTAAGTTATTTGGCTGCTATTAACGCCAACGTGAGTATATGGCACCACTAAGAAGAGGAAACCAGGGGGGACACGCAGCCAAAAATACTGATGCTTTTCTCCAAAACTCCAGAGACAAATGAAGATGAGAAAGAGAAGAGAGGTAGAGAAATGGTAGAAGGGAGAAAGGTGAGAGGGGCGGAGGGGAAGGGGGAACCAGCAGATAAAAGTAAATATAGAACATCTGACTAGGAAGTGAATAAAGAAGCCCAAATATAGCCCATTTTTGCATCATACCACCCATGGTAAATTCCAATTTGTTGCTCTCACATTACATTACAAGCCTACATTTTTGTTATAATTGCGTTAATTATGAAAATAGCACAAGTACATTGTCTTTCATAACTGATATAATCTTGATTTGTAGGAATGTTCTGTTGATATGCTGTCAGCATAAACAGCCAGTTAGAAGAGGAACGTCAGAGGGATTTCAATGAGGCCCCCTGTGAGACATACAGTACAAGAGAGATGCCCTGGATGCCCATATGGGGTGACGTTTACATGGAAATTACCAACCAAAAGTCTTATGCTGTGCATTTTAATGCATGTGCAAAAAAACCTCCATCATCCTTTTGCCACCATGCCTTGAAACTTTTCTTCTGTCTTCTTCAACCACACACCAGGAGGAGAGAGTCCTCCTAAGGGCCTTGCAAGGTTAGCCCCTTCCACCTATGATGGTCAGGTTCATCCAACATTACAGGTTCGCTTCCCTGGTAGAAACCTACCTGGGCCTTGGCCGGCAGCAAAGAGGTACAGGGATTCCTATTAAGTTAGGCTGACCTATAGGGGGTAATCTAAAGGTGACTTACTCGTGCTATTCAGGATAATGTAGCCAAGACTGGTCACTCCCACAAAAAGGGAGTGTATTAAGTCAGCCTGGAGATGATAACGTGCATCCACGAGACTACAATGACACAATATATTGTTTAACCGGTGTCTGCAGCTCATGCGCTGTATACATTAAAAGGGCCTAATTATTACCTCCCCCAAGGGCAGGAGTTGTTTCTGTTGGTGTTTGTTGTTTTGTGTGTTTGTCTGTTAACAACATAACTCAAAAAGTAATGAACAGATTTTAATGAATTTCTTTGGAGAGGCAGGGTATGGCCCATGGAACAATTGATTAGATTTTGGTGATCTGTATCATAATTTGGATACAGGAATATTCATCCATCCATCCATTATCTATACCTGTATGTATATAAGCACCCTTGTGGCCAAAGTGTGTGGCTGCACTTCTGAGCGTTCAAAGCACAAATCCCAGGGTCATTGACAACACCCCGCTGTGCAAGACAGGGACTGAAGGAGCCAAGTGAGGCGACGGCCTACAGCTGGGGAAAGATCTCATCTGGGTGAGAGCCCATTTCTGACATCAGCACCATCACCAAGAAGGCACAGCAGAGGATGTACTTCCTATGCCAGCTCAGGAAGTTCAACCTGCCCTGGGAGCTGCTGAAACAGTTCTACAGAGGAATTACAGAGCTTGTTCTCCATCACTGTCTGGTTTGGTTCAGCAACCGAACAGGACAAGGGTTGCAATGGTATGAGATTTTGGTATGATATGGTCTCAGAAAATATCCCACTTTCATAGTATTACATATTTACTATTATTATTTGCTAGAACGACCCTCAAAGGAATGAAGCCATAGGATTTTTATGCAATTGACTGTGACAGCTGATTGAGCAGGATTCCAACTGAAGAATAAACAGAATCATTATTATTAAAGATGATACAAAAAAAGCATATAACTAAAGCATGTTAGTTTGCATCTTAGCACCAGTAGTAGAGGAAGCATTCACATCCTTTACTTAAATAAAGTGATGCTATCACCATGTAAAAGTACCCTACTATGTCATAAGTAAAAGTCCTGCATTGAAAATGTTTTTGGAACTTCCCCCACCATTACCTATAGTACTGAATTCAGCCTGTTAGCACACTGAGTGCACACTAGAACAAACCAGTGTAGAGACATGACAGAGGAAGGAAGACAACTGATTCACTTCTGTTTTCAACAAACTAGCTATCTGCCTGCTGGGAGTCTGTGGTTGGTGGAGCCTTTGCAGTGTGGGCAGGACTTACCGACTGTCCAAGCTTTTCTAAATTGTCCAGGAAATACTTGACTGATTCCACCTGGGAGAAAGAGAGGAGAAATGTGATTTCATTACAAGAACTGAGAGTTGATTCTCCAATGGCACATGTCACATGGGTCCAATTCCCTTGCAAATTATTTTGGAAGCAAGTTCAATTCATGACCTGCAATTTGTTCAAATGAATTAAAATGCAACCCACACACTGTAGCGCCGCCGAGAGCACTGCAGCTTCTAATCTGCTTTGGAGTATGGAAAAGTGCACTAAATCCATTCACCATTTACCCCATAGTTTTCAATATCCTGCTAGTCTGAAATATAAGTTTTAAAGTGATGTTAGTAACTGCAAGCAAACAGGAAGCCTGGGCTGTCCCTTCGCCACTGAGTATATTTAACCTTACCTGTGAGTTTTAGTCAACAGGATGGCCTTTGTTTGTGCACATGTAGTGGTGTCTGAAATTTCTGAATGTGCGTTCTATGATGGGCTTGGTTTGGAGTACAATCCCTTAATTACAGGCTAAGCTGGGGGCCCTGCCATAATGCTCTCCTCACTCCCCACACACTGATATGCTACCATTACATGCACTTCTATGGGTATCTCTGGCTCTGGAGCTGTGTTTCTTATAAGCAGTCACCAGCCACAATAACCTGCCCAGTGTTTGTTTGTTGCTTGGAATAAGTTGCTCTTTTATTTTGGCTTGGCCTCCTTACATTTTGTTCTAAATCTTTGTTAGAGCTACAGTATTATGCTGCATTTTTAACTCCCTGTGACAGTTTCACTATTGCTCATAAGGAAGGAAGTTTGTTGGGGCGTCTTCTTTGGAGTGCTTGTTATAATTTTTTATTCGTATGTTTTTGTGAACAGCACTTTGGTGCACTGTTTGTTGCTGGCAAAGTGCGTTACAAATAAACTGACAGTGATTGTTTTCTCTATCCACTCATCAGTCTTGGCAGTGATTACGTTTATGTTAACAAGGAAGATTATAATACATCAAAAGATTATTCAGTTATATACAACCCCTCCCCTCCAGAGTGTACTGTTAATGAAATCAAACCAAAGGAGCATTCACATTTTCAGAATAAGAGTGAATGTACATCTCTGTCTCTGTGCTTGGGAAAATCGATTCCATTTGACAATCACCAGATTTTTTTTAAATTTGTTTAGTTGGGGAAACTAATTACTTTGTGAAACACTGCAATATTTACTCATGACTTCTCATAAATGTAATATTATGACTTGATATGGAGCCCTAAAGAAAAAAACCATGCCTCAAATTTAAAAAAATGTGGCTGAAAAATTAAAGCCATCCATCAAAATAAAAAAATGGGATTGTTTACCACTCCTTTTAAAATAAGGTCACCTGAAAAAAGAAAACCATCCATCCATTATCTGCATATACTGTACCAGCTGACACTGGGTGAGAAGCAGTGTAAAACCACTGAGGGAAAAGGAAAGCTTTTCTGTGTATAACAAAAAGAGAGAACTTAGGTTCAGCACAGTTGCAATCAGCTACAAATATCTATCATCAGACAAAATGTCATCTGGATCTGATCCGGATTCTGGATCTGGCAGCCATTTAAAGTTAACATTGAAAACCTCATTTAACACATTTTCTGTCATATCTTGGCCTATAATGAAGATAGAACCCTGAAATGTTCAGGTAAGATGGAACCGATCTGGGTTTGATCCACATCAAGGATTTCAGGACACATTTTGTGTTTTTCTGGATCTCATTTTTCACAAAGGAGCCATTTGCATGAGCAAATGTTGTGCTTTGGCAGAGGTACATACACTTCTGACTGCTCTTGTTTGAGACATGGGTTTCTGCCCAGCGGAGCTTGGCTGTAAAGGTCTCATTGGTAGGTCTATATTTTCTCTGCTAGGCGAGTTAGGAATAAAAGGGCAGAGCCTAAGACATGCAGTTTGAACCTAGGACAGACTGCTGCCTGCTCAACTGAACGGCTCTGGAGGACAAGAAATACATATATGCCACTGGGCAAACATAGGTACATGCAAAACTAGTATAGCAGATTGAACTGTAAGCTAAAATTGAGGCAAACTGGCAAAGGAGGATGGGCTGTTCACAACAGAACACCAGTTAGCGAAAGGGTGGCCACCTAATGACTCTGTAGACTTGCCTTTACTCTCACCCCCCCACACAGAATTTGTATTGGCATTAGTGATAATACAGTTATAGACTGTAGGGTTGTTACTGGTGTATTTTATTTTGAGTGACAATCAAAATAAGTCGGTTGATGGAGTAATTACATGGTGCTGTTAAGTTATCATAATTTTATCTCCTCAGGCTACAGCTGTATTTGGAGCATGCAAAGCCATATAAATCAAACACACCCTCCCAGCATGCCCTTCAGCTTCAAGAAAACAGTTTGTGCGTTAATTCAAAACGTCACAGGCACAAAGGCAATAATGGTGCTCAAAATGAAAGGAGAAGCCAGATCTAGAATACTAAGTTTCAAATAAAAAGAAACTGGATTCTTTTTTTGGTCTGTTCTGCAAAGGTGAGCTAACATTAACTAAAAACAAAAGAGGAAGCCCTGGTTAGCAGCACAGTGGTCCTTCCTTCCCTACCACAGAGCGGTACACTGGCCATGCCACAAGTTCTTGTGATATTAAAATGTGACGATAATTTTTGTCAAGAGAAAAGCTGTCTTGTGATATCAGTACATAACAGAAGTACATTCACGTTGATCCGGCAAAAACGCAACTCCTTGCATACTGCTGTCTTTTAGTTAAACGTTTCAAAGTGCACCTGTATTGTTTTGCATTTTGTGACTTTCTGTCACATAAAATACTTTTTCCAGTCATGTATTTCATCATTGAAGAGTTCTTAAAAATCGACAGCTCATTCTGATGAAAATTTGGCTGTAGCTTGTTGTCTACCTTACTACGGTTGTAAAATTATTGTTTGTAACAATAATTCACTTATGACTTATTGATACAAGAAACTGGCATCGCTCCAATTTCACTGAACTCTCTGCAGTATCTGATGTCGTTGCCTCTGCACCCCTCTGGGCACGCTGTAATTCACATCCTGGGCAGTAGACTACCATATGGAAAAAAGTATACATGTGTACATATTGTCAAAAATCTGTGGGTACTCATTTATAAACATCTGTAAACATTCCCATCCCTAGTCTGGAGTGATACATAATTGTCCACTGTATGGACACTAGTTAATAGTCTTACTCACCAGCTGGAACTCTCTGCGGCGGTCATATGCCTTCTGGATGCCCTGGTCGGCCCACAGGGCGCGGATGGATGGCAGGTAGTGCTGAAAAACTTTGGGCTCCACCATGCCGTGGCCATTAGCCATCGCTGAACGAGTGTCAAATGACATCATGGTCTCACCATGCTGCTGATTGGACAGGTTACCCCATGGGATGTGCAACTTCTCTCGAGCATCCACCAACACTCGAATACCTGAAGAGGTGGAGAAACACATCAGGATTTGGTTCTTGTCCAAACTATTCATTACAACCTTCATTTCCTGGCACAGGGATCACAGAGATACACAAATGAACAAAAGTATGTGCATTCCACTGGACTGGGATCAGGGGAACTCTGTCTTGAATACCATGCACACAAGCCAAATACCAACAATACTTCCAAACCAACCAAAGGCTAAAACTTCTTAATTACAGAGCGGCAATCTTTAAATGCTACAGGTTCAGAACAATTTGAAGCTTCAGGCGCACACACACACACACACACACACACACACACACACACTGCCCTTCCCCAGGAGAAGGCTTCACTTGAAACGTGCAGAGTAAATGAGTGAGCAGAGCACCGCTAAGTTTCACTTTGTTGCCGCTAGCTGTACAGAAAATAGCCACGGCAGTCAGCAAAACCAGACGTCGATGACCAAGAGACAACATTAACATTAGTGTCAAAGCAAAACATTATGTTGGACATCTGCGTCTAGTATGTTGATTTTAGACCAGAGGTTGCACAGCAGGAACATGCTGAATGCGGCTAAGGCAGTGCAGCACAAATTTCTTCTAGCATTAAAAAAGAAAACATAAATTCCTCCTGTCCCTTATAATACAGGGTCATCTGTTTCAATAAATAGAATGCAACTTGCTGTTGTCCCGTATCGATCAATATGGCACAAACACTCTGCCCATAATGGATCAATACGGGATGCATTTGTCAGTCTTAACGCTTAAATTTATTGTGCACGGTGGTGAAAACATTACAATACTAATTAAAGTTAAGCCAAATTAGAAAGGCTGTGAGATCAGAGAGATAAATAAGACAGCCTCTGTCATCATTATGCATGTGGAGCAGCACAGTCAGCTAGCTCTCCCCCTCACCTGTCTCCCTCCTCCACTGTCGGTTCAGTCCCAAAGCCGCTCCACCCAGTTGCCATTCGTACAGTTATTATCGTTAAACACTGAGACAGCAGTAATGACTGTTGCTGACTCACTTTACATAACAATTTTTATCTAGACAGCGCTCAGAGTGCAAACTCCATTTCCCCATAATGCCATAAAGCAATATTCCCATGACAGTCTGACCCTCATAAAGACATGGACAAAACTGTTGGTCCGTTTCCATTAAAGAAAGAGAAACTAACAATGGTCACTAAAATAATGTGAAACTGACAAAAGTAATAATAAATAAAAATTTACTGAAAATTAACTAATGAAAATCAGTCATTGCTTTTGAATTGTGGTTCAACAGAAGCATTTAAAAAAAAACAAGCTTCTATAACGGAAGGGTACCAACAATTTTGTCCACGTCTGTATAGGATAGCTTGACTATGACAACCTACTGCTGCCACTGGGGCTGATGCTGATATCTTTATTAGTCTGAAAGCAATTCAGTTCAATTTTATTTATGTAGCACCAGTTCATAACAACAGTTATCTTAGGGCACTTCCCTAGTAAGGTCTGGACTTTACAGTATTATAGGGAAACCCCAACAAAAGCCCCTTGAACAAGCAATAGACATGACAGATGTTCACTTGCTGGTTTAGGCATAAAATGGGGACTTCGGTAAGTGGACTGTGAGCAAAACAGTGAAGTCAATATTTCTGCAAGTTTGTGTTCTTCTTGTTCAACAGCTGTTTGATAAACTGCTCATACAGTCTCCGTTACTGTTACTATATAGCACTATGGAGTGATCTGTCTCTGCTCTCCCTGTCTGTATATGTGGGTGAGAGAAGCGCAGTCCGTCTCTCCTCTAAACAGAGACTGAGACAGAGAAAAACACAGTGGAAAAACAAATAGGATATTCAATGTCAACCCGTGAGGTTATGCTGGGTAACAGTTAAGGGAAGCACCGGGCGTACTGGTTTGATTTGATTTGATTTATTCTTTCAAGCATGTAAAAACAGTTGACATGTCAAAACACATAATTTTACACATATCCAACAAATGCTAATCCAATATCAATTTGCTTATACCTAGTACATGCTTGAATGGAATAGGAAGAAGTCAGACTTATCCAGTCCTACCCCATGACATCATCTTACAATCATTGGTTTGCAAGCAGTCATATTATGACACTTATACCAAAAACAAACATTTTGAGCCTCATAAACACAGATGTTAAGGTGGAAGTGTTGCTTTTGACTTGCATACAATTGTACAGGTGTAAGTAATAAAGTGGCTGGTCAGTGAACATGTTCATCATATATGAATGCCACTTTCGGCTTCTTCTGTTAGGGGTCGCCACAGCGAATCGTCACACTGACGATTCGCATGTTGACATTTGGCATGTGTTTTATGCCGGATTCCCTTCCTGACTCAAACCCGGGCTGCAGTGGTGAGAGCGCTGCACCCTAGCCACTAGTCTATCAGGGAACCTGAATATGTTCAACGTACACGTTGTTAATATTCACTTGGCTCCCTGTTAATATATACCACCTGCACCCTACTGTAGGATACAGTTCCTCCAAGGGGACCATGGGACACCCCCCTCCCCAAAAATAAAAAAAATGGAAAACTGTCCCCCCAATATTTCTCATGACAAGTCACCAAATGCCTCCTAAAGCTGTAAGAAAATACATGTTCTCTGCTCAAAAGTGTTGAACTGACTCCAAAACATACTACATGCTCACTGCACTCCTACTGCTTCATGTTAGTTTACAATGTCAACCAGCAACAGTGAACATATCAGCTGTGCATGGGGCTGCAACTGGTCGCCATGTGCCAGTGTTTTTGGTCATCCTGTGCCCTGCTTACGCCATGTAGTCCTACAGCATCACCTATGTTTAATGTAAAGTCTGTGTCACTGCATCTGATGTTCCCCCATGGAGATTACACCCTAGTTTGTCCATTGGGATGATCTGAGTTTCGTTCAGGCTGCAGTTGATGCACAATAATTGTGGATATGTGCCAAATATCAAGTTTGATTTGATAGTTATTGACCTGCAGTAAATGTGTATCTGACACCCAGCTGGAAACGCGTTGTATGATCCAAATATTGGAGGTCCTGTTTCAAAAACATGAGCTTATAAACACAATAGGCCTATCGATATGATATGAATGAAAGAATAACTGGGAGAACGTGACTGCTGAAAACTACGAGGTGGGATCGACACGAAGCCTGTTAACACACCGGCCACAACAAGAAGTCAGTCCAATGACAGGCAGCTAGCGGGGGCACACCACGTCCTAATGGTAGGCCTGAGTCAAAATACGGAGAAAGTATCAGCATTTTTGAGTTTTTAAGTCACTATTTTGACATACGGGATCGTCTTCTTTTGGCTTCCACACCTAACTGACCACGAACTGTGTTTGTAGTTATTACATCTTCGAAAAGATAACTTGTTAAATTGCGCTGTTTAATTTATCAGTGTGTCAACTTTCAAAAAGCTTCGCAGACGTCAGTCATGCTGTTGTTGGCGTGTTTTCATCTGAGGACAGGCAAGTTTACGGTAAATATTTTTTAAGGAATACACTGAGTGACATGTTTTCCGTGCTGACGACAAGAGCACCAGGGCAGTGTCCGAGCATTACGTTATGTACAGTATGTGTGACTTGACGTTAGAAAAGCTGAACATTAATAAGCCCAATATCTGAGAAACTCTGAGTAAACACAAACAATGGCTCCACTGCAGCCACCGTTCCCTTCAGCCCAATCATGCAGACAAACACAAATAACATGGGCGTTTCTTAGTCGCTTAACCAGCGACCAACACACAAACGTACCCCAGAAGGTTCGGCTCCGCAGCTAGCATGGCTAATAACTTCCCACTCGATACACTGCGTGTCCCTGAAGCGAACAACACAGAGGTCAACACACGAAACTCACTGGGCGCTCGGGGTAGCCTTACCTTTTATAACATTACTAAAAATCGTGGCTCTAAACTCTTCTTTGGCCTTCTGATCGAAATCCTCTCCATGGATAATGCGCATCTGCTTGAGGAAAGTGGACTTGCCGCTCTCGCCTGCCCCAAGTAATAGGATCTTTACTAACCTTTTCATTTTAGTCTTATCTCGATTAATACACTTATCTATCTCTTTAGATTTCCTTAACTGTTCTGCCTCGCCGCTTGTGAGGACACAGTTAGGGAAGCAAAAAGATAAGACGGAACGTGACGGCAGGAAATCCGCCATCTTTACCACTTCATAGATACAAACAGCGAGTAGGACTGTACTCACCCGCTGTTCCCTGCTGCGTTCACGTGTCGAATGATTCCAGTTTTAATGTAACACAGCCTTCTGAACTTTCAGCAGCTGCAGGAGAACTTTATTTTTAAGCAAAAGACCGTGATTTCTGTAATAAACTAAATTCTGACTATTTAAAATACTAATATATAAATACGACTTTGTCTCCTCTTACATCACTGGAATTTTGATGTGTGATTTATTCATTAAAACATTAAAATATATCATAAAGCATGTGTTCATATATCAAGTCTACAGACAATTTTAGTCAATTGAAATTCAAATGAACCTCGTTTTGTCACACACATTCATGGCTACATGGTTATTTATGTGCACAAAAATTTGGAAAAAAAATCCCATTTTGTGGAAGACATAAAAGGATAAGTGAAATGTAAAGCTCCTTTAAGATGCACAGTGCCTCACCTGGCAAGCAGACAAAAGCAGAAGGTAGTGACAAAATGTGAATCCACTTCAACTAATTGCATTCACATTTCCCATTTTCTCACAGTTCTTGACTCCAACTCAGTCTATTATCTCCAGCCTTCCTTACACTGGTGTCAGAAATGGCAGCCTGCCAGATCGCCTCTACAGCACTGCCAAAATGAGGAAACAGGAGAGCCACTTTTGTGGGGAGCTGGGCCACATCACATGCAACTGCCCAGCACCGGTACCATGGAGCCCAGCACCCCCGGACAGCACATCTACACGCAACCTGCCACAGCTCGGGGTTGGCCACCTGGACCCACCAGATGCTGCACCTTAGTGGACATGAGGTCCACCACCTCCCTGGTGTGCCCGGGGACACTGCTGGGGACAGAAGTGCCAAGACCCTGGAGTTGGAGGGCCACCAAGCACCGCATCACCATGATCACTGGCAAGAGTGCAAAGATGTGAGGAGACAGGATGCTCAAATTGACTGTTGCTGACTGCACTGTTGAGCATCATCAGCCTTGACCTGCTGGTGGAGAGGGGGGCCATGGTAAAAGTGCCTGGGGCTGCACTATGCCTGGGTAGGATGCCATGGCTCTCCACACTGCTATAGGGAATGGATGAGCCCAACTGCCACACTGGATCGGCCGGCTGGAGTGTCACACATTTCACCAGGGCCAGCCAGGGGCTCATCCATACCTACACCTGAGTGTGTACCAAAACCAGGTGAGCTAGAGAGAGGGCTTGTACAAGAAGAGCTACAGAAGGAAGAAGAACTGGTGTGGTCAGCACACCAAGGAATCGGACACTGCCACACGACAGCTTCCCCCGCCAGCAGATGTGGGGACTCCCTCGCAGCCCAGAGGGTGCTGACCCAGCACTCACCTGCTGCCCTGCAGCAGCACCAGGTGGGGGTACCGGCAGACATGGCACTCACAGCGGAAAAGAACACTTTACCCCTGGTGTGCTTGTGTGGGTCTACAGCCCTGGATGGAAGAAGGGCTTGTCCTCAGCCTATTTAGACCTAGTATTTATAATGTAAAATGGAAATAAGGGACTTTATTTGTGAACATGTTTGTTAGGTTTGGGATAGTGTAGATTAGAGAAAGTTCTAGGACGATGACATAAGAAGTTAATTTTGACCCTAGACAAAGTTAATTTCAAGCCCTGACAGACATATAGAACTTTCCCTTTAAATGTTACAATTAACTATCATTTTTAAATGTAAAATGACTATAAATGATTTAATTGTATTTTCTTAAATTAAATAATCAAACTCCCCAGATGTGACACACTCAAGCCTCCATACACAGACATCTAAACTAAAGGTTCTAGCCCTGACACTGGGTCTGTCTCTCTCCTACAGTTGACCAGTGGACAAATCTCTCCCTCCAGTCCTGTCTTTTAATCCCCACACAAGAGGAGAGTGTTCATGTCCACTGCATGCACACATTTTTTCTATCAGCAACAATACATATTATAACTGGAATATTTCCAACCAGGATTTTATTACTATTTTTATTCTTTTTTGACATCTGATTTGTTCTTTATTTGTCTGCAAATATGAAAATTAGAACAGCTCGTCCTGACCGGGGGCAACACTCCAGGCCTCGTATGCACTGCCTCAATAAGGTGGGTGGATAACATCATCATCATTATTTCAACTCTTTATAAATTGTTGATATTTTATCTTCATAAAAATGTTGATTATCCTTAATTTAGCAAGAAATATATTATAGATTATATTTTTTTGTAATATAGTCATATTCACTTATTTAGCTGAAATATTATAAAAATTTAATTCATTAATTAATCAAGTTAAGTTAGATTTTATATTCCAGATGTACACTGATATTTACTGTACATGAAGCATGGATGCTGTGGAGAAAACAAACCACCAACAACAAAAAACATTCACGGTTTTTTCATTTACCCATTTAAAGTGCTCTTATTTGTGATTTTCAGAAAAATCTGTTTGTCTTTTTGTTTAGTTTTGGGTTACATGTAGGATCTAATTAGATTTACACATGAGTGTATTTGCCAGCGGAAGATCAGAGGATTTTTAAAGATCATCTCTAATTCCACCTTTAACCCAAATAGCTTTGTGGCTCTGCTGCCAAAATATAACCTTTTATAGAGTTTAATAGCAAAACCTAATCTTACCTGGTTTGCTTCTTATAATTAAGTCAAAGGACAGAAAGACAGAACAGAATCAATAACAGAGCAAACAGAATGTATTTAATTGTAATGTACAAGGAAGAAGATAAATGGAGAACTGTGTGCCATTAACAAATTAAAATGATTATAGACTATATCCTGTATAATTTACAAAAGAGTACAGATCACCATGTGCTTAAGTCAACACAGCTTCCATACTGAAAAATATGTGCTTGCATTACATTGTTTGGTGTTGCCATTATTTTGTCCATTCTCTGTCTATTTTTTAATGTTTACTGTATGTATTTACATATACAGTATGGCTACTGTAGAAGTCGTTGAGAGTAAGTGCCACAACACTTAAACACAATTGGACATGTCAAGAAGAGATGGGAATCAAACCTCCAATCTAACAACCTACAGCTACAGTCAATACCGCACAGAATCCAAAATTATATAACAGAAGGTTTTCAACAGAACATTATGGTGTGAAGACCTTTCCTGTGAGAAAGCATTTCTAGGATGTATGGTGTTTAGGAAGGGGAAAGAGCTTATTGCTGATGAATTATACAATTATTTCATATACAAGTCATAAGCCATTACTGCCCTGTGACCGCCTGGTGCTGGCAGATGGGGGGGGGGGCAAAGGTTATATCATTATTATTAGTTGGGAGAGCTGATGGATCAATTCTCCCAACTTATGTTAGGAGAGAGCTGGTGGAGTTTCCATAAACGTTTGGCCACATTACTTTTGTTGCTGTCTACTTCTTGAGGCTTTGGGCTACAAACTTGATTCAGAATTTAAAATGTGCACCTTCTTGAAGACATTAGGGCTGTTACTTTTCTTTTTGTTAAAGCTACAATATGTAACTTAAGGTAGCCCTAGTATGATACTCCAAATCAATCCATTCTGCTCTGCACAGCACTCTTTCTCCCTGTTTCACTGTGATCTGCTACAATATGGTACGCTACACCATGCTATGCCCAGCTCTTCAGATTTTTATTGTTATGAAATTACATTACATGAGAATGCAACAAAATGTACTGATCAGGCAAAAATAACTGAAAACCTCTTGTCAGAGACGTCAGTCCTGCTCATAAACCTTTAGAAGCTAATACCTCCGCACTGCTGTCAGTGCTGTTCAATGAGTCTGGGTCACCTCTCCACATTAAGACAAGTTTGGAAACATTACTATAGCAAAAATATTTGGAAATAAGTTACATACTGTAGCTTAACTTTTATATCTTTTGTGTTATTCAACGTTTTGTCATCTTTCAGCTTCTCCATTGGTGTGTATTGCATGAATTCTTCAGAGTCTAACACTAAACTTCAGAGGACTGTAGGGTCTCCCCTTCAACTTTTTTTTAAATCTGTTTTTGTATTTTCTTCAGTAATCTCTTAACTTTAAAATAAAATGTATACATGGGAAAATGTTGAGAATTTTGTCAAGATTCAGGACCTGTAATTCTTTGTATGACAGGATGTAGTTTTTGAGTGATGTAGCTGAAACCACACAGTAACTTTTATATCTCTCATTCAGTCGCATTGTAAGAGGCTTCCAGAAATTCTTACCCGACTCTCAGATGACAGCTGTTTTTAAAGTGCCCATGGCATACTCATTTCCAGTCAATTTAATGTTTAGTCTTGGGTACCTCTAGATTAGCTTTGCACCCCTCATAACTCCAAATAATATGTGATTATTTGAGAATGATAAAACCCAAGAGCCTCTTCCTAAAAACAAGAGGACAGTCCATGGGGTGTTGCCGGGGTTGTGTCCAAATCTGTTTCCCTGTCGTGATGTGTTTCCCCTAACCTGAATCCAAATATTATTCTAACCACAACCACTGAGGGGGGCGTTACATGAATCCAAGTTTTGAACCGGGTAAACACATTTTGACAGTGGGATGTTTTCGACTTTAAGGTTAAGTAAAGAAAGTTCTTACATTCTTAACATGTACCTACACTTTTACTTACACTATTTAAGTCCTGACTCTTGGTAAAAAATCTTTTATATCTATGTCCTGTTTTGTAGGACATATTTCATTGTGGCGATGTTAATTTTGTTTGATAAAAACAATAATATAAATGTTAATTACAGCAAAGGACAAAAGGTTAGCATGTTTATCACATGTATCACATGTAGGTTAACTAGACAAGACAAGTATCTTTAAATAAACACAGAAAAGTACCTTTGGTTTCAATATAGTATTAGTAAAGTTAATTACAACACATTTCCTAAACCTGACACAAATTACCATCAGGCACAAAAAATATTGCAGTGCCACATTATTTTTAATTAAGTGTTGTATGTACCTACACTGATGATGTAAATGAGCACAGCCGCACAGAGGTTAAATTTCAGCCACAGTTCCTCCTGTCGCAACTGTGGTAACTCAGGTGCTGAGAGTGTTTGTATTAAATTCCATTTTCTCCACCTTGATTTTTGCGTCCCTGAACAGGAACACAAAATACATATTGCATGAGACCCAGCACGCAAATTCCTGTGGTGCTGCCTTTTTCTCCACTTCAAAACCCCACTGCCACTCCATAGTAAATATGAACACATGCAGTTTCACTGTTTAGCACCAGAAAATGAGCCACAAAACTTTAGTAAATATCTCACTTAATACCAAAATAGTATTATCAATTGCTCCAGTCCAATCAAGGTGAATGGCAACAACGCCTGTGGTTGTATAAACATTTTGTGAGCCCCTGCTAGTGCTGGGCCTTTGGAATCATCCTCATTTTCCCTCCTCTGTAACACCTATGTCTGTTACTATGATTATTACAGTATGTCGGAACGTTCTTAGCTCCTTGGTTCATATAAATAAACTTTGTTTGCTGTCATTCTGCTTTCAGTTGGAGGCCATTGTGGTGGAGATGCAGGACCCAAAAAGTGGAGTGAGAGGTGTGGAGCAGAAACTCAACATTACTATTATCCCACATGTCATTTCTGGTGAGACTGGCACATATACACATGTACACCTTTGTGCAGCTTTACCCTAACCTGAACCATCACATCTAAATGCCTAACAATACTTATTTGCACACATACTGATCATTGTAATTTGGCTATTATTTGGTGATTGAGCTTTATTTGCTGTAAAGTTAGCTTGTGTTTACAGTTGCAGCGAGACTGCTATAGAATACAAACAGAAAAAGATCAAAATAAATCTCCTAATTTTAGTATTCACACAGTTGTACTGATGACTTTTAAAGCCTCAGTTCTCTTATTTCCAAACTTCTGTGCCCCTGTTTACTGACCTTTAATTTACTAGAATGAAAACAAATGAGGACAGTGCATATACTGTATTGTACAGACATGAAAAGCTCTGTAAATTCAGGTGACAGTAATGACTGAACACTTTGTCACTGTATTTTCAAAGCACAGAGTGTGTGAGGTCACTGACAGGTTGCCTTGACTGTCTAAGCTGCTAACACAGGCTAAATAAGGCAGCCCACAATTGGATGAGATCTGAGCAGTACTTTAATAGCCAAAGTGGCTTTTTAATCTGGTCTAAGAGCAGCAAGGGAGAGGTCATTATGGACACATGAGTCAAACTCAACATGTGAACTTGAGGTGGTTTGAGTATAAGCACCTCCTGTTAAAATAACATCTTACAAAATGATTGATTAGCACAGAAGCTGTGTGATTAATCTAGAACTACCTGTTATTATGTCTTCCCATAGATATTGTAGCTAATGCGAGGGGAATACACTGGGAGTCGCTCTGCTCTTTTCCTGAGAGTCTTTGTTCTGTTAACTTCCTCCTAATGTACCCAGGGTGTGTAGAGTAGTGTGTAGTAAAGAGGGTGTGTGACTCATTGCTAGTAACTAGCTTGGTAGTACCACGTGAAGATGATTTGACTGGCAGAAGACTATGTAATTACCATTCCAAGATATGTTTTTTGATGTCTTCAATCATATGAAAGTTTATTTGCTGTAAACGTAGACTTTCCTCTACACCTTCTCTTGGTCTACATGTATACAGCAGCCTACATGCAGCAGAACCTAAGTGGAGATGTATGCAAATTAACCCTCCTGTGGCGGTGTTCATTTATATCATCAGCGTTGGTAACTATGCAGCTAAATTGAAAAATTGCGGTGCTGCAATATTTTGTGAATCTGACAGTAATTTGCAACAGGTTTAGTAAATATCCCCCTTAGGGTTTGATGGATTTTTACTGGTATAAAACTGATACACATTCATCCAGAGGTGGGAATCTGTTTGATTAATTATTTCTTTGTGTTTCCACGCAGGTAAGGACATCATTGCATGGATTGCTAACAAGATGAAAACCCCTCCAGAAGGTAGGTCTGTAAACTGCAACAATCACTGAAACTTTACTAAAACATGACATTTCCACAGTTACTGACAAAATAAAACCTCAGAAACAACATTCAATAGTTATTTACTGTTTCATTCCATTTATTTCCTCATCGTGTGCTTCCTCCTCTCTGTGTTTCAGAGGCTCTTGCCTTTGGCACCATGTTAGTGTCCTATGGCTACATCTATCCCCTGCATAACCACAAGAAGCTGGTCATGTGCAATGACACCAGCCTTTATCGCTTCCAGGTAAAACTAATGTCATACCCTATAATCACAGGGAAATACGATTTCACTAAAGGTAACTTGCTGACTGTGTTAGAATAGAATGCACCGGACATCAAATGCTGCATAGCTCATTGCTGGTGAAGTCACCAGTGAGCTGTTTTGAACACAGTGAATTAAGAAGAAAGCTTGGGAGTAAACAGTTGTCTAAATAATAGATGGCTAAACATGGTGATGGGGTTTAGTCATCTATGGGATGACTGGTTCCCTGTTAACATCAAGTGTTTATGATTGTTTCATATCTACTTGAGGGAAAATGAAGAAGGCAGCTTTTTGCATTACGTGTGGGCTGTTACCACCTTTTGAACATGTTTTCAGTCCTTACCAAGAGAGCCATCTGAATAAAGGCTTTTTAATGAATTTCAGAAGAATGTCTTGGATTTTTCCTTTTTTCATTTGTCTGGTTTTGGTCCCGTTTCCTCAAAACCACCTTCAGGAAATTTGGAGTGAACTCCCCGAGTTCTCTGGCATCTTCTTTCCTTTTAAAAAATGTGGTATTTTTGCAAACATTTAAGAGGAATGTAAATTCATTAGTATGTGATTGTTTTTCTTCATTTTTTGTTTTTGGCTACTTTTGATTGTTTCTCTGATTCATTTTTATATCATTGTGTTTTTAGGTTTGTATTTGCATTTTCTGTCTGTAACTTTATGCCATTGTCTTGTCAGGGCTCTCTATAAAGATAGATTGTAAAGTCAGTGGGATTACCTGTTTATGTTTACACACTTGAAGAACAACAATAACACAGTTTTCACTCTCAACCTTTTCAGACCCCATACTTCTGGCCTACACAGAAGTGGGTTGCAGAAGACGTTGACTACGGTGGGTACAATACGCTACAGGACGTGGGGTGTTGACTAGAATAGGAAAAATGTGAGCTTCAGTGAGTTTGTACAGTGAAGCTTTCAGGCTGTTAAGTCACAAGTAGGGAGGCACCATACAGTATGTTAGTGATATTTAAGAAACTTTAATTATTGTTATTGTTCTGATAATAGAAATACAGCCAATAAATGTGGCAGACAATTCATAAAATGCTGCAGAGTAGGAATGCCACTTAAACGCAAGTCCTGAGTGATGATTTCACAAGGCATATGATTAAGAAGTGACTTGTTTTTGTTTATTAAAATCCCCAAAATGATTTGGTAAATCTGAAATGGGAAGCATGACTAGGGCTGGGTATCATTCCCAACTTTTTGATACTGGTACCAATACTGATACCATGACTTTGATACCAGTTCCAAACAATACTTTTTTCAATATCAATTTTATAAAATAAGTTTTAACAAATCACATTTTGGTCATTAGTTTTATGTTTCAATTCAGGCATTTTTGTACACTCAAAGCAGTTTCATAAGATAAAAAGTAAAACTATTTACTACAACCGTAAATTCTGTTAACATCAACATCAATAAATGGGCGCTGCACACTGTTGCATTGGCTCACTGACACTGATGAGATGTTCTTCTTTGCAGGCCCAAACAGAATCTGCAGATTTAGTTATTTATTTACTGTCAGTTTTCTGATGTTATTCAGGATCGAAACCTGTAGAGTGATTTCTGTTTTGCTTGAAATATAAAAGAAAATATTCATTTAGCTAATGACAATTATTTTTAAAGCAACTGTAAGCACAAAAAATGCATTAAAGCAACTAAAATAATTTTGAGCAGGGTGAAAGAAATCTCTTTATGTGAACTTTTAAATTTGAGCTTTTTTTCATTGATATTTTAAGACACTCAAAGTGTGAACATTTATTGGAAATTCTACCAGTATAAAATTTAAGGACACATGGCCACTGAAATACAAAGTTCATTCCTTTCGACATCAGCTACTGACCAGCCACCATGTAAAAAGAACAAGGGGGATGGGGGAGTTGTGATAATGGTGTGTATTTTCAGTCTTGTCAGGAAACATTAACATCTTTGTTAGGAGACTTTAACCTGGGTTGTACACAGGCTCTAGAAGTTGGACATGAGAAGTGTCACAGATTATTGTGTAAGGAATGAAATTAGATTCTAGACAGAGATGTGCAACTAGCCAATCAAGGTGTGAAGTAGATGTGAATGTTGGCTCCAATCCTTGGTTTGGAAAATGATAAAAAAAAACATTCCACAACTGTTGAGCACATGCAGGTGGGGGCAAACGTGTTTACATTCTGAGTTTCTACTTTCTTTTCAAAATCTGCAGAAAATGTGTGAAGGAGTCATCAGAACTCTGCAAGCACAGATTTCATCTGGGCCTACGCCTTAAATGTCAGAACTTAGAATCAAATCACATTTTTCAATCCTTGATGGTATTGAAGTAATTCAATCGATGTCATAAAAGTATAGAAGGTCCATACCCAGTACTAAGCATGACTGAAAAGCACTCTTCTGCCCTCCTTTTTCAGGGAGCTAGGACTGATATAAACAGTGCTATGTTAGAAACATATGTTAAATACACATTTTCATAATATGCAGCTGTTTGTCATACTTTTGTAATATATGTGAAACTGGTAACTAATGACTTTGCTTGCTGCAATTGTAGCCATTTACCTGGCAAAGAGGAACATCCGCAAAAAAGGTGTATTAGAACCCTATGAACAGGTATGTGTACAAGAATAGAAAATGTTTGTGTTTTGATTTGTGAATGTACTGTATGTGCATGTGTAACAAATCTACTGCTTTTATTTTATATAATGTACTAATAGTGTTAGAGATGCTTGCTTTATTTGCACATGTGGATTCTGAATGCAGGTAATGTGGCAAAGAGCATTTAGCCCAGAATAGGTTGTAAATCAAAACAGTTGAAAAAATGGTTAAAGAGTCCATGGCATGCTTTTCCTTGTTTTCTCCTTTTGGCTCCACACTTTCCTCTTTCTGTCACTTTGAGAGAAGTATATTTGTCTTTCATCATTACATAGATCCTTGTTCCATAATTTCATTTTTCAGTAGACAATGGAGCACCAGTCCAAGATATCTTTGCTTTCCTGCATGTTTTTTAGTGCACATCTCCTTTTTCTACCATTTTACTGCATAGTTTTCCTGCATAGCTTCTTCTTTAGAACATACCCAAAAGTTGTTTTTAGGCAAATCAATTATTGTCTCTAAAATTTGTAACACAGGCTTTTTGTTCAACTCTGTAAGTGTTCAGTATTTCTTTTTACTGCTTTGTCTGATTCCTTCTATTTAAAAATATGAGAAATGATTTTTTTAAACTTATTATGTATTTATGTTTTAAACAGGCACATTACAACCACCTTCATGAATGGCTGAACTACAAGTGGGACTTCATTGTAATGCAGGCCACTGAACAGTACAAGTATGTGAAACTATTGCAGCTTGGTACTGAACCTTGTTATCTTTTTAAGGGTAGTTTTTGAGGTACATCTTTTTTCCTCTTCAGATCACAGTGAAGGTAAATAAGAAAAGTGAGAATAGGATAGTACTTAGCAAAATGTCCTAGCTTGACAAGCTTGAAAAACAAATTACATAAACACATCCTAAAACCCCTCTCCATTCAAGAATTTAATATTAGTTAATGTTGCTTGACTGATGTTTGAGCTTCACTGTGCAAAATCATTATTCTGCAGAGTTTGTTTTCACAATAATCTGCAAAAGAAGGGAAATCTCTCTGTGCTCATCTTAAATCCTGCTTTAACCCCTGGGATTTACCAGCATAACTCTGTGATACTACAACAGGTTTGGAGTCAATCATGGTCCAGTATAGCAAGGAGTACTTCAAATGTTCAAACACTTGGTGCCATTTTGATCTTATATATATTTTCTCATATACAGTGGCTTTAGACTGTAATCAGACCCTTTCAAATTTTGTACATTTTATGTTTCAGGCTCACCTTAAAATGGATTAAAATTGTATTTATTTATTTATTTGCTCATCAATCTACACACATTACTTTACAATGACAAAATGAAAGGTTTTTTCACTTATTTATTTATTTGCCTGTGTATGTGTTAGGGCTGGTAAAGAGAGGAAGAAGCCGGATCGTGTGGTGTTTGACTGCCAGGAGAGGGCTTATTGGATAGTGAACAGGCCTCCGGTTAGTGTGTGACTGTGTGTGTGTGTGTGTGTGTGTACTCACAGGCCACTTTATTAGGTACACCTATACAGTTGTATGAGATTCATAACAACACTTCCACCTTAACATTTGTGTTTATGAAGCTCAAAATGTTTCAGTTTTTGGTGAAATTGTCGTAAATGTATAAGTTATATGTTTATTATTGAAGTCATAGTTACAGGTGGTTTTGTACTGGACTACATTATATTCAGAAGTGTCTTTATATTTTTGTCCTCCCCAACTGCATACATGAGAGGGTCAGAATATTAGGAACACCTCTGAATACATTTATGATAATTTCACCAAAAACTGAAGCATGTTGAGCTTCATAAACACAGATGTTAAGGTGGAAGTGTTGTTTTGAATTTCATACAATTGTACAGGTGTACCTAATAAATGGGCCCGCAAGTGTATATATAGTGGTAGTGGTGGTCAGAGCTCTTTATAATGTTGTTTATTACATAATCACATTTATCACGAACCTGTTCTGTGTGTGTTCAGCGTCGTACTCACAGTGCTATGGATTGTGGTCCAGACCGTCTTATTGATCCCAATGCAGATGAGGTAACAGGTCAGTAGACACACACATGCACATTCTGGAGAGACTGAGGTCAGCTGGTGTTTTAAGAAACTCACCGGAGCTCAAATTATAGAGTATTACTGCATAGCTCATCTAATCATATGCACTTCCAGAGGAGAACCTTCTGAATCCCTCTAGTAGTGATTTCCTTTCCTTACTACTCTTCCCCTTCCGTTCAAGTTCCTTTTCTTTTCTTTCCCTTTCACTCAGATACCACGTGCAAAACAAATAAAAAAAAGTCAGTTTATAGATTTTAATCATTTTAGAATATTAAGGGTTTTAGTCTTTTATCACAGTAAAGCGAATATCTTTGAGACTTGGACTGCTGGTCGGACAATATGTGATGCTGTGAATGTGAATGCTCACAATCTTGGTGAACTTATACATTTTGTAGCATACAAAAAAAGACCTGAATTTTATCGGGTGCAGAATGTGTAAATAAATAGCACTAAAGTTGCGTTAACACAATCATTGTGTCTTGAATTTTAAAGGTAAATGTTCAGCCTACTCTTCTCTGTATTTATTATTTGGTGCAAAACAAGAATAAATAGTCTGAAGATAATCAGAAGGCACCCTGGAGCATTCTGTTTCATTCATTATGACCTGTCTTTTCTTTTCAAACAGATTTTCTTACACTGATGAAGAGAAAGTAATGTGATACACAACACTCATAGAAATTAATATTCCATGTAGTCTTTCATCAGTCTCTCCAGGAATTATTAAGTGTAAGTCATTAAAAAAAAAAGATTTGAAAGGCTTGGAATTTGTCTCTTTGTTGTTTTTACTCTCACTAGAACACAGGACCATGGCTGGGATTTTAAAATACTTTTTCAGAAGAGAATGTATTGATATGTCTGCAATAATCACAAAAATACTTTGTAAGATGAAGTAACCCCTATCCTGGAAGGACTGTTTAGTAATCTGTTTATTAATTTTACACCTTTCTGTTTGTGCTTCACCAGTAGCTGTTTTCTGTAGATGTAACACTAAAGCACCAGAATGTTCCTCTGTTCTCTATAGTACTAGAAATACTTTTCACACCGATATAAGTTAACTGAATCTAACAAACCAAAAACAAATCTGTTTTTTTTATTGTTTTCTTTCAGAAAATCACCTTTGACCAGTACAGACGCATGGTAAGATATAATATTTTAAAAGACACTAATATGCCAGATTATTTTTAAAGTAGTAGTGAAAATCATTACATTTCTTTTTATCTCACTGTTGACCAGTTGAAGCCAGAAACTGTGGACTTGAATTAATTGTGAGCAGGATAGATGGAAATGGAGAGCTGAAAATCCTTTTTCAAAAGTACAGTTATAATTTTGCAACTGCAAACTTTATTTTGTGTTTTTCTTTCATTGTAGAACATGTTCTATCAACAAGCCATTATGAGGTCAAAGGTCAAATCAAGTGTGTCCCTTGGAGTGTAAGTTCAACTGGTATCTTTTTTTAAAGGGGATACTTTATTTTCCCACATAATTATGACTTGGTATTTATTAATTAAATGCAATCTGTCAAGTAGAAGATTTTTACCCCCTAATCATAAATAAATGATCTCAAAACTATTAAAACTATTTTGTTATTATCACAATAGGATCTTTTGATTATCTGTGATTAGTGATCAGTCTGACTAGACCAGCACTGAGGGTTTTCTTGGTCACATAAGCTCTGTCTCTGCAGACTGGTCAAGTACATCACAACATACAAAAACCATGACCCGTTCCTGGCTCCCTGTCTACCCAGCAACCCCTGGCAAACAGATACCGACACATACTGGACACTCAACATGAGAAGGTGAGGGCTGCCATAATTTTACTTTGTATGGCATCGCCATCAAGGAATTTCAAGGTATTGAATGAAACAGGGGTGTAATGGTACACAAAAATCACAGTTCGGATTATTTCGTTAAGGGGAAAAAATCATAACATTGCTGGTCATTATTGTGACTGCCACAAACAATCACACTGTTGTTATCCTGTCATCTTTTTTTTTTATTTCTGTACATTTTTTTGATGGGCTACTAGTCTCACATACTTACAACTGGAAACATGGTTCCAAGTCTCAATTGTTAAAGTGATTCACATATGCAAACCTAGTGGCAATAGCGCCACCATTTGGCAAGTTACAAAGCTAAAATATGTTTCAGGTGCATCTACTCCCACAAGCATTGCTCATAACTTTCTTCCACCTCTGAAATGTTCAGTAGGGATAGGAGATTGTTAGTTGTAATTGGTTTTTATGATATTTGTAATAGCTGGTTTAATATTATTTTTTAAGGGCAGTGAATGAAAGAGTTCATAAGATCATTAATATTTAAAAACTAAACCACCTAGTGTCATGTTCTGTACTTACTTCCTGTTGGAAGCTCTTATTTTGTTGGGATGTTCTGGGTTTTTCCTGTTTCAGCTTGATCTCAGCTACTGTACTTGCTGCATGGAGTGCTGTCCAGCCATCTCATTTTCTCTGCCCCCAAGAACCAGGTTGCCTGACCTGAACCCTGTCTGTTCCCTAACCTGCATCCAGTTTGCTTTTCTCTCTGCCTGCTTACCACTTACCATCTGCAGTACTCTCCACACATGCTGCAGTTAAATGTTAACACTTCTTACATACAGACTGTACTAATACTGTATGCTTCACATGTGATAAAATCTCCCAACAGCAGCAAATTCAAGAAGCATCTGCAGCAGCTTGCAACAATCACACTGCATTTTCTTCAGGAAATGCCATTTTTAATTAGTATATTCCAGATTGTTTGTACTGTATATCTATAAACGTGTAAAATGGACACGTTTTGAAAGCCACAGGCATGTGTGATCAGTGAGAGTTTCAGTTAGTGACTGAGTTTGTGTTTGTTGTTCAGAGTTGACATTCCTACTAAGATGCGAGTAGAGCGCTGGTCCTTCGGCCTATTTGAATTGCTGACTGACCTGCGAGGCCGAGACGACTTCAAGATCTTCCTCAAGAAAGAGTTCAGCGGTATGTTATCAAACGTCTTTAAATGCATTTCAGTTTAGATCATGTTTGTCTGGCACTGAACCAGAGTATTCTTGAGCTGGTTGAAGGATTGTGTGTGTGTGTGTGTGTGTCCTTACAACTCTCAGCACAAATATTGCCATTACTTTCTCGAAAGTAATGAAGAAAACTGAAGAGGGTTTTTGAGAAAAACCCTCTTCAGTTTTCGGTTGTGGCACATTTGTACAAGTCTCAACTGTTCTCATTTTTTGCAGTGCATAATGGAAAGTTCTTGTGTAATTTATATTTGATTATGCACTCAAAGAAATGTCACATCCCATACTAGATACAGTAGGAGCATATAAAAAAAGCAAAAGGTCAAGTTAAGCTAATGAGCTAAGACAGGTATTAGACCAGTAATACTGGGTCTAAATTGTGATTGTGTTGCAGTATTGCTTTTAAACTCTGAGCAACTAATTCTGTTTTTTTGCACCTCTCATTGTTATAAAAGGCTGTTAGTCAGCCTAGTTAAACCCTCAACTTTCCCTTAATTGCTGAATTGGAAACTGTAAATCAGATACTCAGCATCATAGAGTCATGCTCGTGGCGCTGTGAGGATACACTTTGGCAGAGGAGTGCTTTGAGCTACAGTAAATTCTAATGGCTGCATATTAACATTCTGATGTTTCTCATGTTCACTGGCTTAGTTTAGTCAGTTGGCATGCTGACCTTACTCCAGCAATAAACACTGCTGATGTGAATGTCATTAGTTTTGCAGGTATTTGGTCATACTGTATATGAAAGTAGAGGACACATAACATTTTGACCTGATGATAGCGCTAGACAAAACGTCTGGAACTGAAGAGGGTTTTTGAGAAAAACCCTCTTCAGTTTTCGGTTGTGGCACATTTGTACAAGTCTCAACTGTTCTCATTTTTTGCAGTGCATAATGGAAAGTTCTTGTGTAATTTATATTTGATTATGCACTCAAAGAAATGTCACATCCCATACTAGATACAGTAGGAGCATATAAAAAAAGCAAAAGGTCAAGTTAAGCTAATGAGCTAAGACAGGTATTAGACCAGTAATACTGGGTCTAAATTGTGATTGTGTTGCAGTATTGCTTTTAAACTCTGAGCAACTAATTCTGTTTTTTTGCACCTCTCATTGTTATAAAAGGCTGTTAGTCAGCCTAGTTAAACCCTCAACTTTCCCTTAATTGCTGAATTGGAAACTGTAAATCAGATACTCAGCATCATAGAGTCATGCTCGTGGCGCTGTGAGGATACACTTTGGCAGAGGAGTGCTTTGAGCTACAGTAAATTCTAATGGCTGCATATTAACATTCTGATGTTTCTCATGTTCACTGGCTTAGTTTAGTCAGTTGGCATGCTGACCTTACTCCAGCAATAAACACTGCTGATGTGAATGTCATTAGTTTTGCAGGTATTTGGTCATACTGTATATGAAAGTAGAGGACACATAACATTTTGACCTGATGATAGCGCTAGACAAAACATCTGGGGATCACTAAAGTTATTACAGTTCATCCTGAATGTGACATAAGGTCTGAACCAAATGTAATAACAACTGATCTAATAGTTTTTGAGACATTTTAATAAAAACCATAGATGCCAACCTTATGCTGGTGCTAGAGGTAAAGTCAAGTGATCACCAAAGTTAGGTTTTTGTATGTGTGTGTATCTCAGGGGAGAACTTGGCTTTTTGGGAAGCAGCTGAAGAACTGAAGTGGGGCACTGCATCTTCCATATCAACAAAAGCTGAGAGCATCTTCAAGTAAGACAAATACATTAGAAATTTGGACTATCTGTGTGTACATGCACATGAGTGTACAGTACACATCTTTATTACACTGTGCAGATGAATTTTAGCTGATCTTCACAACTTCAAGGGGCTTTTTAAGGGTTCAAGACAGTTTAGACAGGTAGAATTATTATTAGAATTAGGTTTGGGTTTGGGATATAGTTGTTAAAAACAGAGTAAGGTGCTAGGGAATGCAATATGTATGTGTGCATGCATGTTTGACGCTGTTTTACTTACAGTGCGGGGACAGAAATCAGTTGGCACCTGATGACGATGCAGGTCCCTACCATGGAAATCTCATCACAGCACTATTAAGAGCCTTTAATGATATCCTGCTTCCTGTGTATAATTGTAATGTTGATATTCTTGTGCTGTTAGATGTTTCAGTTCATTTTGATATAGTGGACCATGCTATTTTGTTATGTCATTATGTGGGCATTCAAGGAAATGCTCTCAATTGGTTTGAATCCTGTTTATCCAATAGGAGTTACTCTTTATGTATTGAAGGGTTTGATTCTTCTCCATGTGGAGTACCCCACTGTTTTCAAGAAATATGGTTTATCTTTTCATTACACTGATCATATTCAGATTTACTTGCCTGTGAACTGTTTCACTAAAATCAAACTGTCTGACTGACATTAAATCTTGGTTTTCTCTCAATTTGCTTTATATCCATGAGAGTAGAATGGAATGTTTATTATAGCAGTGGCCCTATATCTGTTAAAGAAAACCAAACCAAACAAAAAATCCCTAGGAATACTGTTTGACAGTTCTCATAAACTGATCAACTCAATGGGTGAGATAAGCTTTTTTTCATTTGAAACTTTTATCAAAAGTGAACCACTTGAAAAGGCCTCCATGCTTTTATTAACCCTAAAATTGATTATTGTAATGCTCTGTATATTGGTATCCATTCAGTACTACTGTCTAGACTGCAGCTAGTACAGAATGCTGCTTGTCTTCTGACAGGTATTCATAAATGGGAGCATATTACTCTGATCATATTACTCAGTGTTAGTCACTGTAAAAGGGATGAAAACAAACTTGTGTTTGCCTGTGTCATTGGCCACTGTCAGATTTCGCTATAGTTAGGCCTTGTGTACAATTTGCTTGTAACTATTAAATGTTTATATTATATATAAACTACAAAAAAATACTAAAAGAACACTTGATTATCACAGTAGATCACCAAGTCAGTTAAACTTCAGGGATATCAATCTGTCCATTTTGGAAGCACAAGTGATGAATGAATCAGTTTCACCTGCTTTGGGGCAAATGAAAAGTGACAACAGGTGCAATGAAGAGGCAAAAGCGAGACAACCCCCAAAAGGGGAATGGGCTTGCATGTGGTGGTGACAAACAAGTACTCTCTCCTTATCCTTTATAACTGATTCTTCTCAGTTTTTTAATTGTGCTCTTTTTCAGATTTTTATGAGACTTGGTTTCTTTTATATTCGTTTATGTGTTTTATCTGCACAAGGTTTTGGTTTATTTTGTGTTTCCATCCATCATTCACAATATTTTAATTTGCCCCAGGACCTGATCAAACTTTATGGAGTACTGCGTCACTGCTGCCCAAACTAATCCCACAAAAAACGTTGAACAAAAGCAAATGTCATGTCTGATTTCTATGTATCAAAACATGTTGGCAGAATGCATACAAGTGTTCCCAGTACAACCACAGCCTTCTTTGACTTTCAGTAGTATAGTATTACATTCATCTGGAACGTCTCTGTCCTCAGGACCTTCCTGGCCCCCGGTGCCCCACGCTGGATCAATATTGATGGTAGGACAATGGGTCTGACAGTGAAAGGCCTAGAACACCCTCACCGCTACGTGCTGGAAGCAGCTCAGACACATGTCTTCATGCTCATGAAAAAGGTGGGTCTGTGTACAGTTGTCAAGTTTTACAGTTTATAATGACTATAATTCACATATTTTTTAATTAATATAATTCATGATTGATTAATAACAATAAGTGATTAATGATTAATTTGAGGATCCAAGATTCTTTGTAGCAGTCACCAGATTAGACATTGTTCTTTTTAAATCAAGGCTGTTATGCACTGCATTACTGTCACTCTTATATGTGACAGAAATTATATATGGACATTTTAATAATTAACACACTTCTGTTTTATGAAGCTGAGATCACCAGCAGTCTCATGTGTTGTCACTGATACAGGACACTTTCTTCCGTTACCTTAAGTCACCAGTGTACAAAGACATCCAGAAGAAGGCACTGAACCCTGCTCCTCATAACTTCAGGTTGGTGGCTAAACTGGTTTATGTTCATCCTTCGGTTCTTTCTGACATTTAAAAGTCACTGCACAAATACATATTAATAACACACAGTATGTTCATTTTTGCATCCCAAAACATGTACAGAAATGCTTCAAAATATATGTATAACTTTTGCTTGTTTCTTCCCAGAAACATATCATTTCTCTCCTGTAGTTGAATATTCCTATATTATTATTATTATATTATTACTAGCTGTATATTAAATAACATACAGCTAGTTCCATGTTATAATAGATTCAAAAAGATTATAATTTAAAGGGACATTACAGCAGATTTTAACAAGGTTACAAAGAATAACTGAGAATAATTAGATGTTGTTTGCCAAAGGGGAACAATTTTGGATCCCAAAAGGAGTTAGGTATTCTTGGAACCAATGCCCCATTTTTTGTTCCTTTATCCAATTGTACAGTGTTTGATAAAAGGAATACAGTTCATGTCATATTATCAGATGAATCACTGAGCACAAAATTAATATTTTCCTAAATATTTATCCTGAGCTGCTCAATCCAGCTACAATAACAAATTAAACCTAAAATCCAATTGTATTGTGTTCCACCACAGTGATCCATTTTTCAGTAACCAAAGGGCACTCCCACCTTCAGGGTATTTTAAATCTATATAAAATTCAACCAGCTGCTTCAAAGATTCAAAGCATACCTGTTGAGAATGTTTACAAGTTGCTCATGGCTTTTAAACCAACGTTCTCTGTTCTAGTTTTGTCCCTGTTGAAACCCACTCTAAAATAGAGTCTCTTTCAAATTCATCTCTTAATTCCCCTAATTCTTCATTTTGGGATAGTTGCTCATTCCTTTCACGTTTTTGATTGCATATATTTCCATACTGTTTATTCTAATTCTTATTGCTCTGCCTTTTATTTTTAATCTCATTGTTATTTTCTATTCCTGTTGCCTTACAACACATTGAGAGCCTCTGTACTGGAGTCAAATTTCTGTATGTTCAGACACACATGGCGATTAAAGATGATTCTGGTTCCGATACACCTTCAAAAAATGCCTAAATATGTCTTCTTGTGAATTAATATTTATTTTAAACAACAGTGTCAATGTTAGCAAAAAGCTGATTATATTTCCTGAGACTGCTTCCCAATAATAGCCATTCAGGGTTTTTAAGATGTAATGCTTTTATGGGTTACTAGTCAAAATGAATCTAACTTTCCAGTTTTTCAGTAGCCCAGCATGCACCTATATGGCCACTACATGTCAGGCCACCTGTGTGCTGACTGACTGGTATTAAGTGGAAGTAAAGCAACGTTTTCTTATCCTCCCATTGCTATAGGCTTTATTTAACTGATTCTTTACAACATCATAGAATGGTTCATTGTCTGATATTGTTGATTTCGCTAACAATAGACTGGCAGATGAATGAAGGAGACAAGCCCCGCTCCCATGCACAGCTGGTATCAGTATCAGCAGATATAGGAGGTGTGGAGGGACAGCGAGTCTGTACAAGAGTTAATACCAGCATTAGCAGAACAAGTTAAATCTATAGATATATACATTTAATTTCTGGTTGTAACTAGTAAGTGTTCGTAAGTTTGGTGGTTTTCTCTGCACATAGCCCCAAACAAATGGACTTGAAGCATAAAAATAAAATAATTGCGATTGTATAATAACCTATTAGTTTGTTACCCAGCCCTATTTCAATCAGTCCACCTGCACTGAAACATTTAGGTCTATACTATACATTAATGCAATCACTGTAAATAAGTGATAAAATATGTATCTGTGAAGCTAATCATTTCTCAAGTTGTGATTGTTTACATTGATGGAACATTCCCGTCATAGTTGTTGATCATAAAGGAGGAAATGGTGAGACAGACAAGACTGCTTTTTGTTAAACTGAATTTACCATGTGAACACTCTACATAGTACATTCCACATGCTGTACTTATATTTTAAAACCTGGACTAATAAATCCAAACATAGCTGTGTAACTTGATATCAGAAAATCAGGTCTGTAGTTTGGCTGAACCAACACCTTAAACATATATAGCTGCACATTTAATAAAATAAGATTTAAACCTAATGAAACCCACTCATAAGAATATTATCCCTCCCGACTATCATTTTGAATTTATCAGTAGTTTTGTTTTTTCCCCTAGTGCTGCCCAACTGGAGCAAAATGCTCAGAACCAAAACCCAGGCATTCATCCCATAATCCTCTGGAAGCAGGAAGAGGAAGAAAAAGTCAAGGCCGCAGCTGCCTCTGCTCCTGTCGATATCAAGGCCGTGATGAGCAAAATAGACAGAAGAAATAGAGATATACAGTAGAAGTGTGTGCTTGTGTTGTACATGTCATGTCAAATGCCAAGTATAAACACTGGAGCCCGCTTTGTGTTATGGGCTACAGAAGGAATTGTATCACACTTCGTTGTTCTATTAGAATATTATAGAATGTGAGAATTGAGTTTTCATGGATACATACTTGATGGTGGAGGCAGAGAGAGAACTAGTGGCCCAAACTTAGCCAAAGTCCCAGATTAGATAGCTTGGGAAAATGACAGTGACTGATTGGGAGTGGGCACACATTTATTAATCTGCTTTATTAAATTTCGATCATAGAGTGCCAGGTCTTCATGTCACTACATTTACAAGTCATACACAAACAGTAGAATATCTACAATAATCATAACCTGGGCCCCTTGTTATGGAGGAGAATAAGTCTAATGGATGTTGATTGGAGAGAAACATGACAACCATCTTATATACAGTACTCAACTAGAACATACCTTGTGGCACTACTCTGTGCTACAGTAGAGCCACATTACTAAACTCTGGCTGTATAACATTCCATCAAGATTGAAATCCTCACCAGTTTTTTAGGAAGTCCTGCAATACACTCAAGTGCTTGCCATAAGTTGGTTATATTCTGTCAAGTCATGTCAAAATACAGTAAGTACAGTGTATCAACAAACCTAAATTCAAATGTAAGTAGTTACTGAGGAATGAATTAAGAGTGACCAGATAATCAAAATGTTGAGTAGCTCCTGAATAACTCACTCAATGATAATAATAATGATAATAGATAGTTATGAATTGCCGGATAGGCTACATATATAAATAAATATTCCCAAAAGTAAAGTGATCCATCCTACTGAGTAGTCCCTCTCTCATTACTTGATTTTCTGACCTGAAGTATAGTGGCAGATCTAGAAAATTTTACAGTGGGTAGCAAAGGGATGGCAAGACGTTGTGGAAGGGTGGCATGATTTGCACATATATTGTTTTATGTCCCAGATATATAATAGACTTCAAACTTATTTTGTTTAATGAAATGCTATGTTACTACACTGGAACTTATATTTAAGTGACAGAGAATAAAATCCTACCTTGAGATCCAGCTGGAATTCTTGTCTCCCTGTCTCTTCATCTTTCCCTGCTTCTGTCCCTCTTTTTGACTGTGTTTTATCCTAATCTACAGTACTCCACACATTTTCTTTTTTATTTCCTCACCCGCTCTGTGCATTTGTCCTGCTATGTCCTGCCCACTCTCTTCTCCTTTTCAATTTCTCTGCATATTCTGTCCATCAAAGTGTTTTCATGTTGAAATATTGAAATTTCTTGATTTCTGATTTGCACTGCAGACCAGTCCAACTACTGTGACCTAGGATAGTCAGGATATGAAACCTCATGATTAAAATACATTACATTGTATGAACATGTAATTAATAAGTTAAAACAAAACTAAAATATTAAAGATTTAACACCAAATGATAGATATTTAATTGTTAGGTCACATGCCAATGTTGTGCCTCTCTATCTCTCCTTGGGCTTTTGGTGGAGCGATTAGGCGTGGCTGGCAGTGGGAAGTATCTACAATAATCATAACCTGGGCCCCTTGTTATGGAGGAGAATAAGTCTAATGGATGTTGATTGGAGAGAAACATGACAACCATCTTATATACAGTACTCAACTAGAACATACCTTGTGGCACTACTCTGTGCTACAGTAGAGCCACATTACTAAACTCTGGCTGTATAACATTCCATCAAGATTGAAATCCTCACCAGTTTTTTAGGAAGTCCTGCAATACACTCAAGTGCTTGCCATAAGTTGGTTATATTCTGTCAAGTCATGTCAAAATACAGTAAGTACAGTGTATCAACAAACCTAAATTCAAATGTAAGTAGTTACTGAGGAATGAATTAAGAGTGACCAGATAATCAAAATGTTGAGTAGCTCCTGAATAACTCACTCAATGATAATAATAATGATAATAGATAGTTATGAATTGCCGGATAGGCTACATATATAAATAAATATTCCCAAAAGTAAAGTGATCCATCCTACTGAGTAGTCCCTCTCTCATTACTTGATTTTCTGACCTGAAGTATAGTGGCAGATCTAGAAAATTTTACAGTGGGTAGCAAAGGGATGGCAAGACGTTGTGGAAGGGTGGCATGATTTGCACATATATTGTTTTATGTCCCAGATATATAATAGACTTCAAACTTATTTTGTTTAATGAAATGCTATGTTACTACACTGGAACTTATATTTAAGTGACAGAGAATAAAATCCTACCTTGAGATCCAGCTGGAATTCTTGTCTCCCTGTCTCTTCATCTTTCCCTGCTTCTGTCCCTCTTTTTGACTGTGTTTTATCCTAATCTACAGTACTCCACACATTTTCTTTTTTATTTCCTCACCCGCTCTGTGCATTTGTCCTGCTATGTCCTGCCCACTCTCTTCTCCTTTTCAATTTCTCTGCATATTCTGTCCATCAAAGTGTTTTCATGTTGAAATATTGAAATTTCTTGATTTCTGATTTGCACTGCAGACCAGTCCAACTACTGTGACCTAGGATAGTCAGGATATGAAACCTCATGATTAAAATACATTACATTGTATGAACATGTAATTAATAAGTTAAAACAAAACTAAAATATTAAAGATTTAACACCAAATGATAGATATTTAATTGTTAGGTCACATGCCAATGTTGTGCCTCTCTATCTCTCCTTGGGCTTTTGGTGGAGCGATTAGGCGTGGCTGGCAGTGGGAAGCCTATGCAGCAATTAACTCCTGGGTATTTAGTCTGGGCTCTTGCTAGTCAGTTTTCATTGTCTGTACAACCTGCTTGCTGGCCGACTTTCTACCTGAAAGTTTCTTCTCTCCTGCAACTTTGTTCTTCCAGAAGTCCTCCTGTTTTCTCCGGGTTTGCCTGGTTCCTATTGGCAACTCTCACTTGTCGCTCTCTCATGCTACACAGCAACGTATCTCTATCAGTAAAATCCATCCATCTGCTTATTCCTGGATAGGGTTGTGGGGCTGCTGGAGCCTATCCCAGCTGACATAGGGCGAGAGGCAGGATACACCCTGGACAGGTCACTAGTCTATCACAGGGCTGACATGTAGACACACAACCACACACCCACTCACCCACTCACCCCAACCAGTCGAGGCAGACAGCTGCCCAACAAGAGCAGGAATCTGTTGGAGGTTTCTTCCATTAAAGAGACTTTTTCTACTGCTGACATGTAGACACACAACCACACACCCACTCACCCACTCACCCCAACCAGTCGAGGCAGACAGCTGCCCAACAAGAGCAGGAATCTGTTGGAGGTTTCTTCCATTAAAGAGACTTTTTCTACTCTACTGTTGCCAAGTGTTTGCTCAAGGGGGATTTGTTGGGTTTTCCTTGTAAGGTCTAGACCTTCCTATGTAATGTGTCCTGAGAGGATTGTTGCTGTGAATTGCTGCTATACAAATAAAACTGAATGGAATTGAATTTAATAAATAAAACTATGCATATTTGTATAAAATCCTGTAATATTCTTTAGCAATAGTTTTCTCTTATAAACAAAGGCACATGTACATACATATTTATGATAGTTGGGTACAACTCAATTACACCGAGCAACCGGGGAGAGAAACTGCTATGTAGTGCTACTTTAAAATCACAGAACAGCCATAACGCACAACGCAAAAATATATTTACTATACATATTTATACAAACTTCAGCAAATGCAAAATACCATCTTGAGCAATACAGGGTTATTTGGCCATGCCGGGCAGCCAGCTGAGTTTGAATAAAGAAAGAGCCGCTGTGTCTTCGTCCTGATCAGTGAGCTGTCTGAACAGACTGCCTGGCTGGAAGACGCCCTCACTGTCTGCTGTGTAGGATGGAGGAGCCTGATGGAGGAAAGAGAACACATCAGGTTTGCTGTGATTTGTGATTTACTGGTTATCTTAAATGGCAAGTGATGACAATATACAGGACCACTATCCACTGACTGTATCTCCTCTTTGCTTGGGTGAGGAAAGGAATCAGGGATGCTTTGTAGTAAGGTCAGAGTGGAGGGATTAGTCAGAACACAGCAGAACAACATTCTTTAATTTACAAATCATCCAACATCAAAACCATTTAGTCAATAAATAAAGCACGCTCACACTGCAAATCCACCAAAGGTAAATCAAGGCACTATATAACCAATAACAATATAATCAGTATACACACACAAATATAACACCGCACTAGTGAACTTGCCTGGGTTTCTCGCACTCAGATATGCTGGGAAAGCAGAGGGTGGAACAGATAATATATGCCCCAAGAGGAACAAAACATTGAAACAAAGAAATGAATATATACTGTGGTTCTCAGTAAATTAGACAACAAAATTATAATGTCCTATACAAACACTCAGACTCAGAGCAGCTTTAGCTACCAAATCCCAGCTCTATTACTCACTATGTGGTGTGGAGCTTCAGAAGTCCTGGAGGCTGACTTGGATTTCAATGAATTCGACATGCTGAGAGGTAGCAACCCAAACCTGCAGAGGTGAGAGAGATTGTTGCATTGAAGTGTATACAGATGTACATAGATATATATATATATATTCAGCATAGTACAATTGTATGAACAATTGCATGTGTATGTGATGATGTGAAGAGTGAAATAATTATTAAATGTTTTGTAAAAGGACATAACTGATTGTTCAAATTGTATGTACAGTATAACACATATATATTTTGTTTTTAGTTATGGTGCTATTTGTTTCTACTATTTGTACTAATGTCATAACGTGGTCCCTAATTATTGATGTTACACAGAGCACCTTAGATTAATTATGAGCTAGTGTTGACCTCTGACCTGATCTGGCTGCTGGCAAGGGGCAGGATGTTGTAAGACTCTTGGGAGTTCACACTGCTGCTCCGTGACATAAACAGCTTCTCAGAGCCTGTGAGAAGTCCGAACAGCACCTGAAACACAATGTCACATCAAAGGATTACCCTAAGTAAATAGGGGAGCCCCATTATATAAGTTTACTGTGACATCTGTACACCACTGGATCATAATGGTATCGTCAGCTCACTGTAGCAACACATCTCAGAGCTAATGTGAAAAGTTCTATATATCCAGACAGTAAACTCTACTTTTGGTTTTGTTTGTGTGTTAAGGGGCTGACAGTACCGAGGTCCTCTGGGACAGGCGGTTGAGGTTGGCATTCATCAGAGGAGTGAACACATCCAGGTCAAAAGGGTCAATGAAGCCCTCCAGCCAATCACAGACCATGTGGAATCTGGAAGACAGCCAGCACAATGTTTAAGGTAGGGCTGGACTATTTGACTATTCGGATATTTGTTTGTTGGGTAGATAATCGCTTTTTTTTAAATTTTAGCATTTCAATATTTAAGACAGCAAGAATTGTCAGTGTGATGATGAAGAGGAAAGAGAGTGCAACTTGGTCTGCTAGTTGTTACTCATGTCTGAAAATGTTGGAGCAGGTCTCCAATAAATCATCCAAACAATCAATAAGTCATGAGCGAAATGTTGTTAAAAGACAAACAAAGGCTCTTTAGCATAGCAAGGCAGACAGGCAATGAGCTATAACCTGATTCTCATCTAAACGAGAGGTTCTGATGGAATAGCACATGTGCAGACGGCTGCTCTGAAAAGAGGAACCACAAAAATATTCAATAGAGGCACGCTGTAATTCGCATCTTGGGTAGTAGACTACCATATAGAAAATATACACATGTACATACTGGCAAAAAATCTGCCAGTACTTACTTTTGAAAATTTGTAAGCATTCCCAGCCCTAGTGCAAATCAAATCCATTTTTCCCCAGAGGTGATTTCTATCATATTTGGTGGATATTATCATGCTGATGTATGTGTACACGTGATCATTTTTCTGGTAAGGCTGTTTTTAATGTGTGGTTAGATGGTTAGACAGCTTTGATTGGCAGTCTGATACATCACTCAACTATTTGGCTGCTGCTTCCCAGTATCTGGTTACAAATCGCCAAAATGGCCACCGGCATATTCGCTCCACTTTTGCATAGTGGAGGGAAGAGGAGGTCATCGTCCATACTTACTGTACAATCAATGGTTCCATGTTGCATGTAATTGGAGTGGCCATGTTTGTTTACACAGAAAGTTTTATGTTCATTTCTGAATGTCAGCAGAAGCCTTCTGTTGTACATTTACAACCAAAAAGTGAACAAGATCTTGAAATATTATTATTATTGCTATTATTACTAAGTACTTGAATCTTTACTTGGCAAGTTCTCAAATGTAAGTGCTTACACTCTGTCCTAAAAAAAGTGGCATTGGTTCCCCAGTTATACGTATGCATGATTGTTAATTATTATTGTTATCATGGTCACAAAAGTGTGTTCACAGACAGCAGAATGCTGACATAATATAAAATGTAAAACCTGACATGAGCAGATTTGTCTAGTGTGTGTCACACTTTGGTGTAGAACCCTCAGGTCTCCTGAAGCAGCCTTTTACCTTGCCAGGTTGGTATTTCAGCTGTGCTGTCAACAAGCCATTTTGACAAATCTGTGATGGGAATTCATACCTAGAGTCTTGATGGAATCGTGAGCTCTTGCCCTCCTCCATTCTGCTGCCGAGTGTGGTATTGAGGTAACGAAGGTCAAACAACATCTGCAAGGCTCTGTTCTGAGTCATGGGGAACACAGACTCCTGGAGGATGATGGAGGAGCAGAGGAACACAAAGCAGAGTTAATCATAAAGCCAACAGTAATTCTAATAAAACCCTTCCTTTGTCATTGCCTTCTGATTTAAGTGTCTGATCTCTTCCTTCATTCTCACTGCTACACTTTCCTTTCCTAGGATGTCTGTGAACAGCTGTCTAAGGTCATTCCACAGTATCTCTGTTGGGCCACGGTCTGGGCTCTGACTGAGTGTTGACCTGCTCTGAGGAGTGAGGATGCAGCCTTTTATGGACAGATGTCCTTTACTGGAAAACAGTCAGTGACTGGGCACTTCGGATGAAGGGTCAAAGGAAAGGGCATCTCCTGTTTATAGATAGGAGTCTCCTTGATTCCTCTCTCCTTTCCTTGCATCTTACATGGGCAGGAATAAGAACCAATGAAGCAAGTGAGAGAAACCTGCAACTAAGGGAACTGGGATGTACCCATTGATTCTATTCTATTTTAATTCTACTTCTATTCTATTTTAGTTTCTTAAATGGTATGGCATTCAATATTAGGTGAGAGAGAAACGGTATTTCAATTTTTCTGTATGTCCTGCACATATAGTGAATTGACAATAAAAAGCTTTGATTCTTGATTCACTTACATTTTGTTCACTGGCTTGAGTTTGAGAACTTACATTGTTGTATAAGATTAATACAGGTTTAGTAGTTTAGCCAACATTGAGATGAAGATTTAGATGGTTGACTGTTCACATGGATTATACTAACTCTTTTATATAGTGACAGAATATATCCGACTGAAACCGTACACCCACATCCACAGCACTAATGATGAATTATCATAAATATCTTGTGTTGCCTGCATTTTCGACTTGTCTCAAATGTTAGCTTTTTTACATCTTGTTTTATTTTCACTGATCTGTGATGACTTTAGTTCATAAACCTATTCGTTCCTAGACTGTAATGTAATTGAATGTAGGATATTATTCATGGCAGTGCAGGTAAATCAGAGATATTTTAGGCAGCAGAGGAAACTTATCAGCTTTTTACAGTTCATGAATTTGAGACTTAACTGGATGTAAAGAAAGAGATGAAAAAGGGCATTACTTTGCATCTTTCATTGTTTAGTGTTTATTTGACAAATGTGTGGCATATTTTGACATAGTTCTCATTCCAATTGCCATTTTTTGTAGTCATGTTTCAGTGATGAATGATAGTAACTCGTCATCATTTTAATTGAATTCAAGGCTGCAGTTGCATGGTTTTCACCTTGTCTGCAACAATGTGTGTGTGTGTGTGTGCGGTTACCCTGCTGTGGGTCTGCTGTGAGAGGCTATGGTAGTGGTGCAGGGCCTGTGCCAGACAGTCCTGCAGCAGCTCCTGCAGAGTGGGCTGGGGCAGGGCGTGACCCCCCACCTTGTTCACCTCAACACACAGCCTGAACAGCAGTGACTGTACAAACCAAGATGGCTGTAGAAAACAGTTTTACATCAGCTTTTTGAACAGAATCAGAAATCATGCTTCTTTATCTCTGTCAAAGGTCACGCTGTGCATCTGACCTGGACTGGAAGACGGATTTTGGATGTGACACTGCTTCCTGACTCTGACTCTTCTTGGATCTCCAGATCCTCCC